GCCGGACCCTGGGCTCGCCGCATTGCCAGGCAGCCCACGCTGGCGTCCAGGAGTGAGACGGATGCGTTACTGCTTGGTAGAACTGCCTTGGTGTAGGGCTTGACATGTTTCAGTGATCTCTGTTCTAGGGACGGGTTAACAGAGCTTGGAGAGAACGATGTACTTTTAGTAATGGGCACAAAGAAGGCAGAATTCACGGACCAAAAGGACAGAGCTCCCAGGATAAGGAAAGAACTAACACAGTCAACTCAGCAAGTGTGCTGAAATCGGCTCTGGCTGGGTAAAAAGGTGCTTGTGGCAGGGAAAGATCACGATCCCGAGAAATCCACCTACTCCAGAGAAGCAGACCATGCTGGCTGGATAAATGAGGGAATCATTTAACCAATAGAATACGAATTAAAAGAACTATGTAACTTTTAGGCAGTCGATAATAATGCCTTTGTTTGCTAAAATGTATAAAGAGTATAAAGTTTTAATAGTTCTTTGCTGGCTTTGTGGATTTTCCACCAAGTGCCCCTTTCTGCTCAGAACTGTATATAAATAAAATATTTTGACTTTTGTGTGTGGATTGGCTTCTTCCACACTGTAGCATCCTTTTTCACTATCTGTTTGATCCTTGTGATAAAGTTACTATGCGCTGAGTCTCTAGGTAATGGCTCTGTGTTCCTATCATGCTTGTGAAGAATGATGTCCTGAATGGCCCCCTGAATCCAGTTTTCTTAATCCTTAAGTTTAGTAGTTTCACCAACGTGAAAGTGTAAAACCAAGTTTTGCAGCTCCCCATGTGCATAAGAACATAGTACCTTTTACACACTTTCCAGCATAGTTCATAATTGTTTAGTGATAAAAGAATACATGTGTCTATATGACTAAAGTGAAATGCTGACATTTTAAACAATGGTGACAATTCAAGCTTTTGTATCTCTGTTCAACCTGTACTACTTCTAGAGAAAAAATATTAAAATAATTAATTTGCTTTTTTAAAGGCCAGGTTATATGCTATATAGAGACTGTAACCTTGATTTATGAAAAGAAATTCCTGTTTTTCAGGAAGAAATAGATATGTCAACGTATCCTGTTGAAAGCATTAGAAACTTCAGTATTATAGCTCATGTAGATCATGGCAAAAGTACACTAGCAGACAGATTGCTGGAAATTACAGGTAAGCATTCTCATTTTATGCTACCTTTTCTTGACATGGAAGGTGGCATGTTAAGTTCGTGTACCGTTGATTATACTAAAATTTCTAATATTTTTGCTCTCCTAGTGTTGCTTGGGCTTTCAAGCTCTCAGTTGTGTAGTGTTACAGATATTTGGACTTTATGGTTGAGATATGCCTACACGTAGGCATAAGGAAGTGTGTCATTCATTTAAAGAAGTACATATTTTGGAAAGAGGCTGAAAAGGAGTTTGAAGATGTTCCTTGTTTCAACATCTTCCTTGTTCAAGATGTCACTCCTGTCACTCTAACCAGTCATCCATTAGAACAGTACATGTTAAGTTTATGATGTTTATTGCCTGTGGTTGACGTGGACAGAAGGGGTGGGACTGTCATGACCTGGGAGTTCTGGACTCTCATTTAAGGGTGAATGAAACAAAACCAGGGAGAGAAACTTCTGATCAAAGTTATTTTTTATGATTACCTCCCATGTGTCATCACCATGAGCATTTTTGCCTGATGCCTGTGATAGAATGGGATTTTGAATTCAGGTCTGTCACTCTATGCTAATGCTCGTCTGGCACTTGAGATTGATTTTAGAGCTGTGGGCCACTCTTCCTCAGTGATAAGAGGGAAAGTTTCCTTAAGTAACAAAAATATTTACAATTCAAGGGAATTTTTCCTTCTTCTTAATCTCTTAGGTGATGTTAGTATTTTATGTAACTTTATTGTGTAAACTTTATTTGACAAATGTAGAGTTGATGCACTCTTTTGTTTTTGATTGAAAATCTTTGTTTAGCTTAATTATATGGGAAAGCTTCATTTGCTCTTGGTTAACTTTTGGTTAATGGCATTTTCAAGATTGATGTCATAAATTAGGTAATAAAGCTTTTTTTTTTTCCTTATTTTTAGGAACAATTTCTAAAACTGACCGTAATAAACAAGTGCTGGATAAACTTCAAGTGGAACGTGAAAGAGGAATTACAGTTAAAGCCCAATCTGCATCTCTCTTTTACAATCATGAAGGAATAAACTACCTCTTAAATCTTATTGACACACCAGTAAGTTAAATATAAACAATGTTGAAATCACACAAATCTAAATGTCCTTATAGTTACAAGTAGGAGCTTTCTGGCTTCCTGTGTTTATTCAATTCCTCTTTTATAAGAATGTGAACTCCATTATGCAAATATACAAATGAAAGCAATGTACTAATCTTTGCAAAAATACCTGAAATTGTAAACATTTGTTTTCTCCACAGGGCCACGTAGATTTCAGCTATGAAGTATCACGGTCACTATCTGCCTGTCAAGGTGTCATACTTGTAGTGGATGCAAATGAGGTGTAGTACCTAATTCTTGTTTTTTATTTAGTATTTCAGGATTTCCTTTAGCAAGAGGGAAACTAGGTTGTGGGATTTTTTTTTTTTGTTTTTCTGGCAGTGTTTCTGCTACTGGGCTATCTCCATGAAAGTATTACATTGCAGAAAAATAGTAATGGGATTTTAAAGCAGTTGCATATAATCAATCACCTTTTATTTATCCATCTCCTAAATGAAAGTGTTGATAGAATAGCAAAGTATGCCTAAAAATACTCCCCAAAACTGAGGAGTTTCTGTGTTGAACTTTACAATGTTGTTTTCTAGGGTATTCAGGCTCAGACAGTGGCAAACTTCTATCTCGCCTTTGAAGCACAGCTTTCAATAATTCCTGTCATAAATAAGGTAATAAAGTTATTCGCATTTTCTGTTAAACACTTGGGTTGTTTAAATGTGTATAGTGCTGATTAGAAATGTAACCTCAAAGAGAAGTAAAGAAAGTTATTTATTATAATATTTATAGGATTTAGATTTAACATGACTAGGAATTTTCTGTATTTGCTGTCTGTGTAAATTTTACAATTTAACTGCTGTAAAATTTTTAATTTCATGAAATACATTTAGGTATTTAAAAATGTAGCACTTAAGGACATGATTAGTAGTGGACTTTGCAGTGCTGGGTTTATGGTTGGAGTTGGTGATGTTAAAAGTTCATTAATATTGAGGAAATGACATGACTAGGAGCTCAGTATTTAAAAAGTTAAGTCTTAATTTTAAGAGAAATTCTAAGTGTTGCTTTCTGTACAATTTTGAGAGCTGTGCTATTGGAATCACAAAATTAATTACTGCTCACCTTATGTTAATTGCTTTTTGTAGGTTTATTTTGTACTTAATATGTAATCCTATAAACAGTGTAGGTAGCTCTTAATGATTTCAAATTACTTTGTAAACTAAAGATTTTTACCAACTCTTGGGCAAAGGTGTTTTCCCTAATGAAACAAGCCAAAATGAGACTGGTTATGGACAGGATCCTTCCCAAAATCAAGGAAGGAAGACTTTATAAAATGAATATTCATCTTTTCCTAAAGATGGACAATGTTTACTCATAAATACATAAAGGTTCTTTGCTGTACTTTGCTGTTCTTTTTTTACTTTCTACTGTACTTTTTTACAGTACTGGATGATGTGGGAGATCTGGTTTCTTGTATATTTAGCAGTTTGTTGTTTTACAGATTGACTTGAAAAATGCAGACCCTGAAAGAGTTGAAAAACAAATTGAGAAGCTGTTTGATATCCCTACAGATGAATGCATAAGGGTAAGATCTCTGAGTTTTACAACATGCCTGATAATATAACTTTGTAACTAACACCTGACGTGTGCATGTTGTAAATTAAGAGTGCTATCTGTCTGCCTGTTCTTGTCTGACATAAGAATTTCTTTAAATTTTGTCTCCTGTAAGAGTGGAGAAAATAACTCTCAGCTAAAAATTCTAGTATTTTTTCAGGATTAGAATCCGGGATTTTAAATTATTTCTCGCTGTCAATCCATAAATGATTTTCATTTCTATCATGAAAATAATTGCCATTCACAGAACACAAAAGACAGTATTTCTTAGTAATAGCATTCTAGAGTGTCCTTTTGAGTGCTATTATGGGTGCCACCCAAACTGTCTAAGTTCACATGACACTATTTAATTAATAAATGTAAGATGTGTCTTATAAAGTTGTTGTTGGATTTGCTTTAGATTTCTGCTAAACAAGGAACAAATGTTGAAAAAGTTCTTCAGAAGGTCATTGAGAAGATCCCACCGTAAGTCTGTATTTAATTATGTGTCTAATTAACCTTTAAAAGTAATTAGAAAATCATGAGTTGCATTTATATGGTATTGGCAGTAGTTTTACACTTAATATGCATCTAATTAAATAAAATATTTCATAGATAGATGTAGGAGAAACAGAAGGAAAATAGTGACTTTTTCTTAAACAGGAGAGGTGAATTAGTCAGCAGCGAGGCTGAAAAGCAGAGGGACATTTTTTTCACCTCTTTCTTTACCAGCACCGTTGGGCTTTAGGCCTGGGGAGCAGAAATGCAGGTTGATGCACAGATACACTGTCAGCAAAGAAGGAGTTGGTATGTGAACTGTTACAGGAGCCTGACCCCTGTGCATCCTTTGGCCCTGATAGTATCCACTTGAGGATTGTAGGAGAGCTGGCTGTGTCTGTGCAAAGCTGCTCTTCGTAATCCTTGAGAAGTCCTGGAGATCGGGGGACATCCCACAAGACTAGAAGAATGCTAATGTTGAATTTACTAGAAGAACTTGAAGGAGGATCCAGGAATTTGTAGGCCCATCAGTCTTACTGCAGTCCCTGGAAATGGTATGGAACAAATCCTCCTGGGGGCTGTGACAAGTCAGATGAAGTGATTGGGAAAAGCGAGGAGGGGTTCACCAAGGGTGTATTTGGCTTGACAAACCTGATCACCTTCTACAGCAGGGTAACCTGCTGTGTAGTGTGAGCAGTGGACAGTGGCTACCTGGATTTCTCTCTACCTGCATTTTAAAGGTTTTGGATAAGGTTCTCACAGGCTCCTGGAGAAACCACTGTGTTACAGTCTGGAGTGATCTGTGGCATGGGAGCTGTCTGACAGCTGCACCCAGAGGGTGGTGGTAAATAGCTCCTTTTCAGACTGGCCACAAGTAGGGTCTGCCAGGATTCCACATTCGGTTCAATGCTGTTTCTTATCATTATAAGTGATCTGGAAGTTGGGATGTGTACCCTGGTGAAGTTTGCCAGTGATACCAAACTGTGAGGGGAAGTAGGCACTTCAGAAAGGGGGAGCAACTATGCAAGGAAGTACTAGATAAGGTGGAAGAGTGAGCTAAAAAGAAACCTATGAAATTCAACAGAGGGAAAGGTCTTGCACCTGGGAATACATAATTCAGGAACACAGCACAGGCTGGAATCTACCTAGTTGGGGAGCAGCTCTGTGGAAAAGGACCTGGAGGTCTTTGGGGACAACAATTTCGATGTGAGTGAACAGTGTTCTGCTGCAGCAAAGAAAGACAACAGCATGCTGGGTTGCCTTGGAACATCAAGGACAGGGACATCAACAGCAGAGATGAAGAAGTCATTATCCCACTCTGCTCAGTGGTGGTCAGTCCACACCTGGAATACTGTGTTTGGTTTTGGTCCTTTCTGTGCAGAAAATGTGGACCAGCTGAAAAGGGGCCACAGAGATGATTGAAAGACTGCCCTTTGAGGAAAGGTTGTAAAAAAGGGACTTGCTCAGCCTTGAAAAAAGAAGGCTTAAGGGAGACCTTTTGCTGTTTCCTGGTATTCAAACAGTGGCTACAAAGAGCCATTGAAATAATCTCTCCAGGAAAGTGGTGGATTCCATAACATTGGACGCTCTCTGGTTTGTTTGGGAAGGGTGCTAGGCCTTCTGTTAAGCCAAGAGTGTTTTTGCCAAGAAAAGTTGGATCAGGTGATACTGGAAATCCCTTCCATCCTAGTGTGATTCTGTGAAAGTATTTGGGGTGGGCATGCTTGCTCATTCAATATTGAATGAAAACACACTTCATAATGTATTGTTCTAATTTTTTTTGGTGACAGACCCCAATGTAATACTGCTGATCCATTGAAAGCCTTAGTATTTGACTCTACCTTTGACCACTACCGAGGTGTCGTAGCTAACATTGCGCTCTTTGGTGGGGAGATTGCAAAGGGACACAAAATTGTGTCGGCACACACTACGAAAAGATATGAAGTTCATGAAGTTGGAATTCTGACTCCAAATGAACAGCCAGCACATAAGCTGTAAGTAAAAACTTCTTACAGTGGAAAAAATAATATATTGGGCTAAGCTACAATGTCCTGCATTTCTGTTTGATTTTTGCTTTGAGAGGTAAAAACTGGGAGATGTCTAGGTTTTTTTCTTGTTCTTTGGTGGTGGGTTTTTTTACTAATTACTATTTGCAATTTAATGCTCTGTGCCATTTTTTATTTTGGGCATGCCGAAGCAGAAGGTTTTACGGAGTGCTTTTGGGGCATTACTGTGGGAGGAATCCATTATCTTCTGTAGTACATGGAACATCTGGACAGCTAGGTGTTTAAAGGCTAGTGTTCGATATTCTTATTCAGCTGTCCAATTTATTTCTAGGAACTGCCCTGTTTGAGAGTGGAAGGGAATGGGGCTTCATCTTAGTTATTGCTGCAGCATATTTTGAGGGTGGAAAACTTAAAATCCATGAATGCAACAGCTTCCAGAAACTGGCTTCTCAATGGCAGCAGTGGGAAGAAAATCAGGTACTTAGAATCAGTGGAGAAGTTTTACCAGTGTGCACCCAAATATACATAAATGACTTTACTGGGGTCATTTTCAGGTTACATTACTGTGTCTAGTGGGTTGAACCCAGCCAGCAACCCAGCCAGCCCCCTGCTCACTCCCCAACTCTAGCAGGATGAGAACTGAGGAGCTACCTGTGGATTGAGATAAAGACAGTTTAATAAATAAAGGAGGAAAAAAAAGAAATAAAAGCAAATTATGCAAAGATAGTCCATTATTCACCACCTCCCACAAGCAGAGTGATATCCTGCTAGTCTACAAGTAAAAGCCTTGGAAAGACTACACTTCTTTTGTATTGCTAAGCATGATGTTCTGTGGTATGAAATGCCCTTTTGGCCAGTTTGGGTCTGTTGTCCTGGCTGTGTCACCCCCCAGTCTCTTGCACACCCTCAGTGTGTTTGCTTGCAGGGGCACAGCAAGAAACCCAGAGGGCTTGCTCAGCAATACCTACATTGGTATGTTATCAACACTTGTTTCAGTCACAATTCCAAAACACAGCTCCATACTAGGCTGCTTTGAAGAAAGTTACTCTATCCCAGCCAAAATCAGTAACACTGTGTTTTGCTCAGTATTTACCATGTATTCCTCTCCTGTTAGCATAATGTGCTGATGGAAAGTGTTTGTCTAGTTTCATCCCAGTGATATATGAAACTTGCAGTGCTGGCAGCTGGGAACTGTTCTGGTTTCTTTGTCTTAGGAGCCTCTCAAGGGTCTAGCTCCGGCTTTTAAACTGAGAGCAACACAGTATTCAAAATCCAGGATCATAAATGTGCTGTTCAGCTGTAACAGAAAAAGAGCTAGTTGAGATTGTTCACATCTCAGAGGTGAAACAACTTAAATCTCACTTCTGGACTTTGGAAACGGGCTTTTAATGGGGTGATTTATTTGAATTTCTGGCTGGGCTAAATTAAGTAGGAAAATAGTAGAAATACTGCTAATGCCAACAATCATGTCCATATAATAACAATTTTATTTAGCTATGCAGGACAGGTGGGGTACCTGATTGCTGGAATGAAAGAAGTAACGGAAGCCCAAATAGGAGACACACTGTTTTTGTATAAACAGCCAGTGGAGCCTTTGCCTGGCTTTAAGTCAGCGAAGCCAATGGTTTTTGCAGGTGAGGAGTACATCAATATAAAGTTTTCCATTGACAAGAGTAAGAGCTGTTAGAACTTTTAAAAGAAGACATGTATATTAAAGAGTTGGGAGAACTAGAATTTTTAGCTGAGGTGTGTCACTTATGTAGATTTGTGTGTTTTCCCTGTGACTTAGCAGGATTAGCAATAAATGCTGACTGGCTTTGCATGAATACAACACAAATGTGATTATTGTTTCTATTGGTAGTAAACTCTTAATAGCTGGAAAAGAAGGGTTGAAATAAAAAAAAAAAGAATTATTCATCTTGATAATGAGATTTCTGTAATTATTCTGTTGGTTTTTCTTTTTTTAAAATGTAGCAATTGTTTCATTTTTGTTAAACATGGTTAACTGCCAGAGCTACTATGCAGAATGATCTTGTAAAATATTTCACTTTTTGAGCTTGCCACTAGCTTCAGTAACTACTACAAATGCTACAGAAGGTGACTTTAGAAAAAATTCTGTAAATAATTTTCTAGACCTGTTGTGAAGCAGTGTGTAGAACTCATTTGAACTGTCTCATGGAGACTAGGCATTTAGATGATGTTTTTCTGTTCATGTGTGTTGCATCTTCATGTAGATGACATTTTCTGAGCATACAAGGATGTGAAAAGTGATGCAGTAGAATCTATTTCAGACAGTAGTTATACAAACAGCTGTTTTTATTAATTTAAAAAGAAGAGAGGAATATTTGCAACTTTGAAATCATGCTTTTTATTTTTCACTCACTCTTAGCTTTGAGGGAACATCTCAGCGAAGTTTATACACTTACACTGCAAAACAGTGGTTATACTCAACTATGAATCTTCCATAAATGTGAATGATTAGATGAATACAGTGATCCTACCATTATGGTTTAGATGTTAATTCAGAGGTAATCTAAAACATTTTTATGTTTTGACTAATTTTTTTTTCGAGGAATAAAGAATGCTTATGTTGTTTTTCACATTTAAAAACTGACAGAGCAGAAAGTAACTATTCCTGATTTTATTACTCTGTTAACTTTAAGTGGCATATTTGAAAGCCAGGTACACAGTAGCTAAAGCTCCCTGTCAAATCACTTCTATTTAATATATTTTGACAGGAATGTATCCAATAGACCAAACAGAATATAGTAATCTCAAAAGTGCTTTGGAAAGGCTGACATTGAATGACTCCAGTGTAACTGTTCATCGTGACAGTAGCCTCGCCTTAGGAGCTGGATGGAGGTGAGGTTTTTCTGCTGCTTTCATTTTTTAAACTGTTCATAAGTTAAGAACGCGTGTTTAAGTCAACTGAAGGTAGAATTAAACTTAATTCAAAATTAGAAGCTGTAATTCAAATAAAGATTATTAATTTCATTTGATTTTCTTACATTCTCGGTTTGCACAGAAAATGAAAATTATTGTGATTGTTTTTGTTCTCCAAGATTTTTCAACTGTACGATTATTTGGTCCCTTGAAGGTTGTTTGCTCTGCCTGATACTGCCATACTAACACTGTAAACATGCTGGAGGGTGAAAAAGACCACTGTGAAATTCCAGGGGATACGCAAATACTTTTACCAACAGGGTATTTATTTTCCAGGTTGGGTTTCCTTGGTCTTCTACATATGGAAGTCTTTAATCAGCGTTTGGAGCAAGAGTATAACATGTCTGTTATTTTGACTGCGCCTACAGTTCCATATAAAGCTGTTCTTTCCTCAGCAAAGTTGATAAAGGTATGTTAAATTAATTAAAAAATTAGGTAAATATAATAAACATCTAGAGTCTCTTCTTAAATGTAGACTAGTACTGTATTTTATAGTAAGCATTAGAAACACCAGTATATTACATAAATAGTTTTTAATTTTTTAAGGATGCTAACTGCTCTTTCCCCTTTCATTTCAAGCACTCTCTTCTTATGTCTTATACTTTTTCTAGAAAATGGGAGTACAGGACACATGCCTTGCTGTATTCTTTTAAGTGCTTACTGACTGGACTGCATTAAAAGCAGATGAAATAATCTTCCAGGCTTTATCCATCAGAAAACATGAACGTTTCTAGGAATAGCTTGTGATGATACTGTAGATTGGCAGGGGCTGGTGAAAGAAAGTGAGATTTTTTGATCACAATTGAATGGGCTTGTGCTAACTTCATTAAACTGACTGCAAATACAATTACTGTGTTTGAGTTCTAGAGAGAAAGAGGTAGACTTAGAGCACCTGCTGAGAGAGGAGGCTGCAAATTGACTGGCTGATTGTCCTGCAAATTACTAAAAACTTGTATAAGAAAGGTTTCTGTACTTACAAACTGTGAGGCATAAACCTTTTATCTCTCTGGTTGTTTTGGTTTCTTAGGCAGTATAGCAGCTAGGAATGAAGTAGTTGACACCTTTAGTGTGTGATTCTGGACTGCTGATGTGGGATTCTTTTCAAACAATGCTGTAAGTTGGGTCCCTGTCAGTGGACAGGGAGGAGAGGGAAGTTGCATTTTCACAATAAGCAGCATAACTTTCCTTTTACCTTGGAAGGGTAACTCCAGCCCTTACTGGGATGTTGGACTGGAAAAAGTAGGTAATGAAAGCACTTACACAGGAATCAAAAACTTCATTTTTTAAATCCACTTCAGCATGTGAGGGAGCCTGAACCCAAAGTTCTACTTAGGGAAGAAAGTTTCCACCACTGAACTCTAAAATATTTAGAGCAGGTCTTCTGTTGAAGTTGTGTAATAGTAACTTAGAGGATCAGGATGAAGTAAGAAAGAAGATCCTCAGTTTACAGTGGAGAGAAAGATGGATAGAAAAGTTTTTTGTATTTCTATCATTTCCCAAGTCAAAAGCTAATTTCTGCATAATGATATTTAAGGATGTGCTGATAACAGACTTCTATATGTTTTATAAAAATCTCTTCTAAAATTATCCTTGGTTTAAACTTGGGTTGCATAATGCACCAATGTTTTTAGACAATTGAAACATATTTTAGCGTTTTTTCAATGGTATATTTGTCTCCTTTGCTTTTACTTACTAATAAATTTTTCTTACTAATAAATTACAATATCTGGTTTATTTTTTTTTCAGGAGTATGGAAAAGACCAGATTACTATTATCAACCCTGCTCAGTTTCCTGATAAACTTTCAGTATCAGATTATATGGAGCCAACTGTTCTTGGTACTATTGTAACACCTCATGAATATATTGGGAAAATAATTACCTTGTGTCAGGTTGGTGTATAAATTTCATTTTAATTTTATAATTTTAATTTTATCTTTTGCATTTTTAAGCTCTTCACCTCAAAGTGAAGACACAAGATAGTATGATAATAGATATTGCTACTTGAATAGTATCTTTGAAATAATTATTGAATACTTTTGAAAGATGAAATAATTTTAAACATTTTATTTGTAAAATTCTGAACTACAGAATCCATCAAACTACAGAACTGAAAAGTTAATGATGAAATTCAGTGACAACCAAGTGCTTGGTCTGTACTGGACTAATTCATAGCTAGTTCTGTTCTCCTGAAACAATGGAGTCTGCCGCAGGGAAATAAGATGTATTGGTTTTTTAGAAGTATATTCATAGAAATACAACTTCTGCCAACACTTCTGACTATGTGTCCATGTACTTTTCTCAGTACTTCACTGAAAATAAATTTAGGATAGCGAAGGCCAAATTTGCCTAACTGTATTTGGAATACTTCTAATTCAAAATGTTTTAACTGCCATGCATACTGTGTTTATATTATTTCTTCACAATATTTTTCTTAGCTTCTGACATTCCAAAATGCATAATACAAAGCAGTACAGTGAAGAATAAAATCTATTGAAAAGAATTTCTAAATTAACTTTAAGAACACCTTTCTGGGAGGAAAGAAGATGAGCCTTCAAGTCCTACAGTGGCAGCAATAAGCAGAAGCTGTTAAGGATTTCAGAAATTCAGCACTTAGAGAGGAAAGGCTTGAATTGAATTTCTAGTTAAGTTATAACCACTTCATTTGTTACAATGCTGCAGTTTGTCGTGTGACTTCAGCAAACTACCAATGAGAAAGTTACTTTGGGGCTTAAGTACAGGAATTCTCTTGTGTAGCTTGATTGCTGTTCATTCTGATTTGTTTTGTATTTTTTGTAGAAAATTTCAAGGGAAACTGAAACAATTTTTATTTGTCTAGGATCGTAGAGCAGTCCAGAAAGATCTGTTGTACATTGATGAAAACAGGGTTATGCTAAAATACCTCTTTCCACTGAATGAAATTGTGGTGGATTTTTATGATGCTCTTAAGTCTCTGTCTTCTGGCTATGCAAGGTAACTACCTCTCCTGTTCCCCTTTTCTTCCTCCCACCCTGGACCCTGAAGGGGGGTGGTATGGTAAAAAAAAGGCCTGAGGAACAGCTGTGGAAGGGCAGAAGTAAAGAAAATTCCTTTATGGTGCTGCTGCAAATCTAGTCTTTCTTCACCTTGAATGGATTAGATTCACTGTGAAAATGGATGGAAATAAGTCTGAAAAACATGAAAAGTGTGTCACTACCTAATAATCAATGTTTTTGGCAATGAGTATATTTTTCAAGGGCACCCCCAGGTGTGGCACTGGTTCATCTATATGAGTAAGACCTAAATGGTCTGTCCTTATCTGAAGTGACACTGTACAATTTTTTTCAATGGAATCACTGAAACTGTACTGCTTACTGTATGAAGTGTCTCTTGGTGGAAAAAGGAAACTAACCACATTGATTATTTAAAGCTAGTAAAAACAATGTGGTATTTAAAACAAGCAGTACTTACTTTATGTACATGCTTTATTTTGTGAAAAAAGAAAAGCATGTGTATTTTGAGACAAAATTTTCTGTTGTGGCTGGCTGCTATGAATTCAGAGTTTAGTAGAGTGCTCAGATGTTTGTGAAGAGCCTTTGTGAGTTTAATGAAAGTGAAAATGCTGCATGGTGATGAGCTTGTGCCCCAGGAGGCTCAATGGCTCTCACAAACCTGGTATGTTGAGATGTCATTAATGGGATATTAATGACACAATAGGAACTGGTTTACCTAATTACATTATTTATTTTATAAACATAAAAATGAATTTTATTGAAGGACTGAATTTGCTTTGAGTTTATGTTTTCTTTAATTATGTCTTAAAAATGTAAGTAAAACATGTTCTACCCAGGTTTATGTATATATGCAGCAAAAGCATACACAAAAGTGGAGAGGCAAGATAGAAGAAACGGAGGGATGAAATTTTGAATTTCCTCTTTGGATCTAGCTCCCCCACTACATAAAAGCTAACCTGTTTATCAAGAATCTATCTCATTAGCAGAATTATGCTGGGTTTCCTTTGATTTGGGGATGATTGCCAATGATGTTGCATTATCTTATTTATTTATTAGTATTTATTTCCTAATTGACTCCTTAATACAGCTTGTGTATGTAGTGCTCTCGGTAATCATATTTCTGTTATATGGATCCATTCAAATTTCTGTGGTTATTAAGCCAACTGAGATAGAAGTACTTTGAAATAATCTCAAAGGATTTCCCCCCCCCTTTTCTGGTATTTCAGATTTGACCACATTACAGTGATATTGATGATCCTCCACAATTATACTTACACACAAGATCCGTCTGTCTGTCTATCTATCTATCTGTTTGTCTATTGCATACACCACCTCCAAATCTCTTCCATTTTAAGAATTTTTGCTAACTACCACACAGACAGCAAGGCCCACACCTACCAAAGAAGAAATCTGATTTGGAAATTAAATGAAAAACTTAATTGTCAGAGATGGTGATAATAAGGGGTCACATAAAAAGTTTATCAAATGAGAGGATGAAAAGAAGTCAGTCTTGGATTGGTGTTTGATTCCTGTGACATTCAGGACATGGAGTGTTCAATAGCTGTGAGACTGCATTAAGCATGTAGATTTCTAATTGCTGATTAGATTGGAAAGACATCCTTGAAGTCAAGATGACAGCTTTCTGCAATGGAAGGGACATTATCTGTAGTGCATTTCTAGTGTGAACATGTACTGAGAGACTACGAAAAACTGTACTCCCATTATATTAAAAAGTTCAAGTGTTTTATTAAGAAATATGTCTATAAAATCTATAGAACAAAGAATGCAAAATATAATTTATACAATATCATGACTAATTTTTGAACTGCTTTTATTTTTTTAGTTTTGATTATGAAGATGCAGGCTACCAATCAGCAGACCTAATCAAAATGGATATTCTTCTAAATGGAAATCCAGTTGAAGAACTGGCAACTATCATACACAAGTAGGTTTACTGGATTCCTTATTCAAAAGGAATAACAATGAAAACATTGTCTATTAATAGGACTGGATGATCTTAAGGTCTTTTCTGACCAAAATGATTATATGATTCTAAATGACTCTAGGTATATATGTTACTCTTAATATGAAAAATGTGTTTGAAGATTTGCATTGAAGATTCTTCCATATGATCACCTTCATTACCACTGAAAAAGAGAAGCATTTTGTAGTCTGAAAATTAGGAAATAATAATAGCAATTTTTTTACTTCTCTTTCTCAGCTTAAGTACTGGATATCATATTTTTGTGGAAAATGTAGTGCAGAGAGAAAGAAACGCAAAATGCCAATCTTGAAAAAAACTTAAGTGCAGAAAAATTTAAGTGCAGACCAATCTAGGAGATGGCAGATGAATAATTTATGATGCTTAGTACTGACAAAAAATTATTTTGCTCTCCCACTAATTCCTGTTCCATAGAAGTTTATTGTTACCTTGTTTCCAGACAGAGTACCGGGAGAATGTAAATATTTACTGGATGCAATTACCTCAGAATTTTTTTGCTAGAATGATTCTATTTCTATGGGCATTTCAGGTATTAGAGGTGAGAATAATGCCCTTCCAGCCTGTCCCCTAGCTTCTCACAAAGTTTTTACAAGGCTCCCTTCTGTAACTTCAGCATCCCTTTCCAATAATGCCTACTTTTGTGGGTTGTTTAGTTTTCCTTCTTAAAATACTTGTAGTTGCTAAATATTTGTATATTTTCATATTTTTTCACATAACTGCAATCTTGAAATCCTTAAAATTCTGTAACTCCAGAAAGCTGACATAGGAAAATAAACCCCTTGCCTTGTTCAGCATCATGGGGTTGAAGGCGAGTAACTGTCTTGCATTCAGTTGCCAGTTACGAAATAATGCATTTCTCATAAGCATGCAGTGTTTAGCAATCTACCTGAAAAGATGCAAAATGGAGTGGGCCACCTTGCAAAAGTTAGTTATTGCTTTAACATGTATTTTTTGATCAGTTTAGTACCCTGAACTGATTTACTCACTAAAACTAACTGTTTTTATTCACTAAAACTGTTTTACTCACTTTACTTTCTTTTGGCTTTAGATTTCAGTTGTTTGTTTTTTTAAACTCATAGTTGCAATCATTTTGCTCTTGCTGCAGGTATTCTCAGTCTTCCCACTGTAAAAACTGCATCTGTAAGAATTATGCTGAATAACATTTATAGAGAAAGCATTACAGAGATTACTGCAAGCTTGGTATTAAGATAGTCATCAATTGTTCTTACTGTACAAGTAAATATATGTACCTCTTAAAACTGTAACGCTCAATGAACACAATTTAAGTACTTCATGTTTAAACTGTGTGCTCTATACAGGTAGCAAGAGTCACATTGCCACTACCTGAAAACATGTATGTTGGTACAGAATGTCTGCTAAATATGGATATTTTTGTACAGATAGACCCGTTTCTTTCTAACAGCTTATGAAAGTATCTGTTAGTATCTTCTTTAGACTTTTTGTTGTTTTCTCTTTCCAAAACCTGAAGCATATGCAGATGCTGAATATATTTAGATAATTTTTATTAGCAGATGACAAGATATGTTAATTTTTTTTTTCTTGTGATATAAAACCAGACTTTGAAAGCATTCTGTAATATCTATATTTTGACCAATTGGACCTATGATCAATGAAAATTCTCGTTGACCTAGTTTAAAATTTCACTTGAAGCTATGGCAGTGTTCAAAATATCTTAATTTGTGATGGATAATCAGGGTGTTTATTATAAAAGCTTTATATGATGTTATATACTGAGGTTAATACAGTCTTATCACCTGTTAGTATGAAACAGGTGACATACAGAGACCACTTATTAGATGTAAAATTTGATCTGATCAGCTTATCTCCCGAGTTAAGAAGAGGAAAACCTCTACTAAAATCCTTAAATCAAACAGCTTGATTTATGGGTATATTTTTAGTGTTGCTGACCTTTTTTTTCAGAGATAAAGCCTATGCTGCTGGTAAACTCCTATGTGAACGTTTAAAAGAGACTATTCCTAGACAGTTGTTTGAAATAGCCATCCAGGCTGCCATTGGCAAGAAAATCATTGCAAGAGAAACGTAAGTGAAGCCCTTCTGTTCCCCTTCTTTTTTTTCTGTCCGTATTTGAAGATACGTAAAATACAGACTTGTATACTATGTATACTAGTTTTATACATAACAGGACTTTGATTTTGCTATAAAGTTGTATTTTTCTTGATATATGCTACTTGAAGAAAAAAAACCACATTTGAGCAGTGACTATTGACTAAACATTTTGAATTAAATTTATACAAAGAAATGTATTTCTATTTTAGATTACTTGGGGTCAGAATTGCACTTAGTGAATAAAGTGTAACTTCCAACACGTGTCCACTTCCTCTTTGGCAGTAGAATAAGTTTCTTACTACTGAAAAAAATTAGCCAGTTGTGGAATACTTTGCTGTGAAAGTCAGCAAAAAAATAGCTGATTTGTGCTGTTCTAAAGGAAATATGTTGCAGCTGAACACAAAAACATTTTCCTAGCACATGCTTCTTTAAAGCAAACCATTTCCTTATGTTGTGTTTCTCATCACATTTTTCTCTTGCTGTTTAAATAGGACTTAAACGGTGGTAAAATAATTAAAGGTCAGAATTCAGGCAGAGGTGCAGTAAGAATTTGTTGATACGTGTATATACACAGGGATGTAACGCTTCCTGTGAGTCATAGCAGAAATTCCAGATAAAAAGCCAAGACTGTGATTTCTTTATGTACATATTATATGCCCTAAGTGATGTTTCTAGAATTGAAAACTGTGAATTTTATCTTCTGTTTAAAGCTTCATATCTTGCATACACAACCTGAAAATGTTATGATTCCAAAGCATCTTACAAAACTAGGAGAAAAACAAGTAACATTTTAACAACTCAAGTACTTAGCTTCACATGTAGATGTTCTAATATGTTAAGGTGTATGTGTTATTTTATTTTGCAGGCTGAAGCCTTACAGAAAAAATGTTGTGGCAAAATGTGTAGGTATTTTTTTCCTCTTTTTTTCAGTTTCTGACATCTTAGAGTCCTGCTAAGATTATATGCCCATCTCTTCCTAGAAACCCAGCAAAGACATATTCTTCTTCTGCTTGTGCCCCTAAGTATCTGTGGAATTCTAAGAGATACTTTTAAGCTTTTGTTTTAAAATCCAACTCTTGTAACCCCTTGCTGCAGCTTGAGGAGTGGTTCAGATAAAATAATGGCATTTTCAGTCACACTTTGAGTGTCTGTTTCATCTCCTCATCATTGTCTAATAGTTCAGGCACACAGTAAATGTGTGTGTGTGTTTGTGTACACAGGCATATAGGTAACTTCATGTTTCCTAAATTTGATCTTAGGTGATGGAAGGAAATATAAATGTGCTTCTTTTGAGACTTGATTGTGATTAAACTTCTGCTTAGATTTGCTAACTTGTAATAAAGCTTTAAATGTGCAATAGTTGACTATGGACAAGATTCAACAAAGCTGTTGGAAAACTGTGAGGCCTCTTACTTAGCTTGGATTTAGCTCTCTGAAGTGAACATATTGGAAAATATTAAACAAGTGTCCCTTTCTCACAACTGCAATAGAATTCTGCTAAGCCCAGCTGTGGGATGGTGACTGTTCAATACTGTACAAGGGTTTAGGTCCCTTTTCTAGATGTAAGCACTTAATGCTAGTCAAGATGCCACAGTGTATCTGAGCTGGTATCCTGCTGCTATTCCAACGGGATTTGGATCTAATGTGCTCTGTAGTGTCAGCCAGGCTTACAGGAATGTATATATTTAGGTGACAGAGTTCAACACTCAGTTGTGCAAATTAATGTGCTTATTTTCATCCTTGTTCTTTTTAATTAGTGGCCTTTAGGCCAAACTATTTGGAATATAAAGTAATCTTTTTGTCAAAATATAACCAGCCTTTCTGACTATTTTTAGTTTTGTGTGGCTGGAATGTACTATAGCTGCAGTTGTAGTTTAGGCTGAGTAAAATTTATTTTTTTTTCACAGTACGGTGGCGACATTACAAGAAGAATGAAGCTTTTAAGGAGGCAAGCAGAAGGCAAGAGGTTGATGAGAAAAATTGGCAATGTTGAGGTTCCAAGAGATGCCTTTATACGTGTTCTAAAGAGAGAAACTGACAAATAGAGATGAGTGAAATTTGATCTTCCAGATCATGTCAGCTTTTTTGCAGACAGTAACAAAGTGAGCTAATACAGGACTTATCACTGTGAGATGGAACATATTTGATTTTAAATGGTATGAATTTGGTATGTGTGGAAACATGAGTTGACTTTAAAAATGTACATATATTTGTAGATTATTATGAAATTAAATTTACTTGACTGCATCTAAAAGTTCACGTTATATTGTTTCTTCTTTTTTTTCCACTGTTTTCATACTTTTAATACTTAAAATTAACATACTTTTGGGGTTTTCTTTCATTGCAAGTCTCTATGTATAGAGAGGAACCATATGGCAGAAAGGTTATAAAAATAATTTAAAGGTATGTATAGACAAACAATGCTGGGTTGGTTTGGTTTTTTTCTTTTAAAGTTTGAACTGCTGACACAAAAGTATCAAGCTGTTTCCTGTTTCACCTTCTCTAAAGGTTGCTGTTGTCAGGAAATCATGATGCTGGGAAACCACATCAGATGAAAAAATCAAAACTCTTTAAATTTACCATGCTGTTTATTTTAAACCAGTTGAAGTGTGTAAATTTACCATTAGTTCAGCCTAGCTGGGCTTATCTCCAGCAAAACGGTAAGTTTTCTTATATTAAAAGACAGAATCTGTAACAGTTCCACTAGTGAGACCAATTCAGGCCTTAAAAAAATTATTTAACATGAAGGTTTGGTTATAGGGTATCTTGGTGTAGTTGGTGAAGTTTTATTTCTATTGTTTACATACTAAAGTTTGTCAGTGCATCCCCAGTTAAATGCTGCAGTGTAGTGTGTTTACCAGGAAGTGTTACTTTGGAAGTGTACACAAGGCAATTATAAATAAGTTAATGGCCCTACTATATACTGTATTTACAACTGTTTACCCACCTCCAAAAGCTTTTAAACTGAATTCGTTTTTTTGATCTTCAGGGACTAGTTTTGCTCTTCACAAATCTTAATTTCTTGTTATTAAATATTTAGTAGAGAACAAATTGCTAGTCATACCTACTAAAGTACTCAGTCACCAGCAAAGTCTGCCCTTAAATTTAGGCTTGTACCTACACTTTAATTATAAAGTAGTTTTATTTCAGCCTGTGTACAAGGAGGAATTGGGAAAATCTTTGGAGGCATGGAAGGGAACAGGACTTGTTCCCTTTCAACCTGTATTAGTTTCAGGGTGTGGAAAAAGGGGAGAGGGAATTCTGGTAAGTTAGCGGTTTGTTGGGGCTTTTTTCTGTTTGGTTGTGGTTGTTCAGGTTTTGGGGTTTTTTTATTTGAAGCTGTTTCAGGTGCACTGAAAAACCAAAGATCTGGATGTGAACAAGATATCTGTACCTTTACTACAGGTACCTAAACTGCTGCTACTGACCCTGAAGAAAGGAAGGATGTTGTGGATAAAAGCTCTCTGACCCATTTATTATTCCTCCCCTGTGAAAGCTAGCATAGAAGGAACTACAGATGCAGGGATACCTGCTAGGAGCCAAGGAGCTAAAACGAGGTCTCCCCACTCCTTGAACCAGACCTACAAGCACTGGTTCTGTACTGAGGAATAAGGCAGAAACTGAAGGTGAGCTAGAGATGATCCAAATAGGATATACAAATTATATCCTTGCTGAGTGACAGACATATGAAGTGTACCTTACCTAATCAAATGAGTTACACAGATGGATAGAGCTACCTTGAGAATCGGTTTTAGCTTTACTATAGTCACCTGAGGCAGAAAAAAAATACAAATTGTAGTCTTAATTCTGAGAGGACTTGTAAATAAATCAGTTTTCAGAACAAGAACTTTAAATTAACTGGTCAGTACCTGTGAAGTACATGAAGTATTAGTTTTTGTCACAAATGTACCTGATTCTGTTTAGTTAATTTTTTCATTTCCCCTTTCCTTTGGAAATACCTTAAAATGAGAAAAAGAATAAAATGATAGCTTTTGATGTGCTGACTTAGAATTTACTTTTAAGACCTCCTGAACTTGAAAATGTTTGCTTTGCCATTACTGCAGAGTAACAGGTTAAATGTTATGCAACTTAAAGGGTTGACTTGTCCACTAAAGTAGTGGAAAGTTTGAAAGGTACTCTCTTGAAAAAATTGTATTTCATAAAATGATTGGAAGTATCTTAAAGAATGGAATAATGGAAACAGTGTGATAGTACTTAAAAAAATTACATAATATACCACTCAAAATTAAAAAAAAAATAGTGTAACGAGAAACAAGCTGGAGAACAACCAAACCTGTGCATTAAAAGATGTAATAATAGTCCTAGACCCAAAGACAGACAGGTTCTGCTGTACCAGTATTTAAACTGGGCTGTGTTTTACAGAACGTGGAGTAGTTAAAAAGGAAGAAAATATATTAATTCTGTGATCTGGCACATCTTGAGGACACAGAGGGCTTTAGTGAGTACGGGTGCCAAGCAAGGCACATGACTGAAAGGTGTGCTGGAATAAAGAACAAGAATGTTGTTTCAATAGAATTCTCCATTTTGGCACATTAAGGATAATGATCATCAAGATGAAACCTGATTCAATTCCATTAATACTAACCTAAATTAATGACTACTTTTAATTTCATGCTTTTTAATAGAATTGTTTATAAACTTGCTTAGCTGTAAAGCTAACACTGCATTTTGAGTCACTTATTACCTGTAACAGCATTCTTCTGAAAGGCAGTCTTTTCATCTTTTTTCCCCACAATGTTGCATTATGCTTCAAAAATACATATGCACAAACTGAGCCTTAAAGCTGAAAACCTGTTTTAAATATGTGGATGTTCAATGTACTGTTGAGAACTGAAACACTAGGCCTGGCATCCTACACTGCTATAGACAGATTCTTCTGTGCTTTTGTAATTTCACAGAATCAGAGAACAGTCCAGATTTGAAAGGACCCTGTAAGACCATTTATGAGAAGGGTGAGCCTAGATGAGTCTAGAAAAGTCACCTAGATGAAAGGCAAGCCTGCCACATACCTGGGGAGATTATGTGATTTTGTAATAAAGACTACATGGCTGTCATTTGGGTGAAAAGTTGAAGTTACACTTAGTTATACTTTCTTGCAGTGAGTATTTTCAACAAGGACTTTCCCAAGAAAAGGCTTCATCAGTAAACTCTTACCTTTCTCCTTTGGTGCCTAATCACTCCCTGAAATTCTGAACTATTTACTCATTACAATTTATTTTAGAAATAAAACAATTTTGAAACTAAGAGATTTATATTTAAGTTTTACTTATATTCAAAGTAGGAAGTAACATTCCTTGTAACAGCTCAATGTTTATAATGATACAATGAAAAAGTGATTAACAGTTGGCTTTAAATGATTATTTGCAGACATTATAGTCCTGTAAATTAAGCTCTTTTCAGGCATTTAATTGTAACATCAGTTATATAATTGACCAGGTACCTCCAGGAAGGAACGTTGAGATTTCTTCCTTATGTATAAAGCTTCATTACCAAAAATATAAAATCCTAAAGTAATTTGAAGTACATGAGAGGAAAAAGTGCTATTGTAGAAGTTTAATATTTTATCCATGGAGCAAGTTGTAACTTCAAAGATTTTGGTGCATTTTTAGGCACTGTTTTTGTGTCTTCATTTGCCTGAAATATACAGCAGGACTTGAGATGCCCAAAAACTGTTTAAGACAAATTTAAGGCAACCAAGTGCAAAAGCTCAGTGTACATTAGATATATGTAAACAGAACATTTCATAGTAGAAATTGTACAACTATTACAAGTCCATAGTAATAGCAAAGGCCAAAACCATTCTGCCTAGAGACACAAATGCAAAATGTAGTTACACTAACCAAGCCAAAAATTAAGAATTTGGGAAATGAAGTGTCATCATCTCTAACATGAGGCAGATGCAATACATTGCTGTGCTAGAGTAAGTGCTCTGCTTTTCCCCTCTCTACATAACGTGCAGTCTCTCCCAAGTTTGTTCTGTTCCATTTAGTGATGTACCAACAGCGGAGCTCCAAATGTTAAAGCAAAATGCACAACACAGCAAACAGATGGAATGTGAATGTACAGATATTGGACCTTTTTAAAAATACAGTACCTAGGATTTCCCATTTTAAACAGTTTTCAGCATATTGCATAGCAGTGAACTCATCTGCTACCTAAAACTGTTGCTGCTGACCCACATGGAGTTCCTCTTCAGTCTTCTTTCAGTTTTCTTTCATACTGTACAGTGGGTCCACAAGCTTATTGTGCACATGCATTAAACCTTGAGAGGAAAGCAACAATGCCAGCTTTACATTAGTTATACTTTGTTAACATGTTCTTCTATCCACATTTTTATTTGGAATTTGTTTCAAAGAATACATTTTAAATAATTCATTGAAGAGAACAAAAATGGCTATTTAAAGTAGTTCAGAGTCAGAGACAGCAGATATATTCCTGTATCACTTGTGTACTAATGATATATTCAGTATCAGCTGAGCAGGGAACCAGACAGTTCTCTAATAACAGGCCCAAAACCCCACATCTGGAATACTTCCAAATGAACTGAATATATCTTCCATGTATTAAAAACTGTGTAACAGCAATGTAATTCCCTCACACCACAATGTGCCATAAAAATTAGATGCACACATAGTGAGACTTTGACAGCTTGAGTTCTTTTGAAATGTTCTAGCATTGTGGTAATACTGTCTTTGTAATAATCATATACTTGTGGTCCTAGACAGCCAAAACCAAATTAAATTATCCAGACTCTTAGTGCAAACTCAATTTCAGCAGTTCAGCTGTTTTCTGTTGTAGCTGGGCTTTTTCTTGTCATATACAAGTCCTTCATAGCTATGATTAGGGGGTTTATTTTTTTCCTCTTCAACTACTTTATTTCTGATAAATGCTGAAGTGCAATTAATAAAAAAAGATGCTTCCTTCCTAACTTTGCTGTAACTTAGTAAAAATGTTACCTACATCTAGGTATGTGTGACATTGGATAACTGGCAGGTTTTCAACATTTCATCTTGAGTACTAATAACAGTAATGATCAGTGTTCACAATCCACCAAGTCCATTTTAGTATTGAACTAAAGACTTAACTTCTAAACTCAAAACATGCAACACTTAAAGTAATTTTCTTAAAAACCATGAAAGAAATCTCACATTACTGCATATTTATTATCTATGGTAAAGAATATTCAAATACCTTTGCTACATGATGCAGCTGGTGGCAGCCTTAGTGTCACTGCAGCAACATGAAATTTGAGTTAACTCTACAATCTAAGGTCATTACTGTAGGTGACCATAAAAAAAGGCATCTTATGCAGCATCTATTACTAATCAGTATGTGATTAGATCAAGTGTAATATTTTAGATCAAGTGTAATATTTTTTCAGTTTAACAGTGACAAAAACTTAAGTATACATTTGACATAAGTCAAATGACATAAAAGAGTAACAGCTGCATACACAATGTAAACTAGAAACATGTTTTGAGCCTTAAAAGATTTAACTTTCTACTAATATTTTCCTCTTCTAAAAAGGGGAAATGAAATAATTACCCATTATCCTAGATGCATGAAAAATGGTTACAAAGTATAGCTTCTGTCATACTTAGTGAAGAATATTTAAATCCTGGTAGTGAAAGTGTTACAGGAAAAACAGTGAGAAACAAAAGAATTTTTTAAAGGAATGCACCAGACTTGGTAGATGCCAAAACAATTGTTTCAAAGGAAAGTCCCACTGGATACTCAGGTATGCTTTGAATAAACAGATTTCTGCACACAGTTTTAAGAGGAGCATGTGTAAGTATGGAAAAAACTATCCTGAACTAACTTATCTGCAGATAAATCAGTAAATTCAAAATTCATTTTATGTTTCATTCTTCAAGAAAGTTGCAAGTAGAACCATAAGCACACTTGATAATTTTAGCCTATTATAGGTCTGCAGAAAGTTAGAATAAATGGAATAGGTTAATCTATTTACCAGCCAGTGTGGTACTTGATTATAAAACAAAACAAAAGCAGTTTCATATTGAAAGTTTTAAGTGGTGAAAAATCTCCATAAATCATTACTATAAATAGCACTATTAAGAACTACCTAGCTTCCCCAAGAAGTCTAACCTGAAGATCAAGTTTCAGAAATAATTCCAAATTTGACCCACGCTAACTTCTCCATTTTACAAGGGGAAAAAAATCTCACTGATTTGAGAGCAGGTAAAATTAATTAAGTTCAAAGTAAACTTTGAAACTTTTAAAAGTTCTATTGCTGTGTATTACAGGGTAATTAAATACAGTGACACAATAGCACACATTTATAAGTTGTAGCCCTTGATGTTTTTTAAAGCAATGTTCAGTGTAATTTATATTTACTAATTCTACATTAGGTTTGTATTTCCCAAGCAAAGCCTCTGCTTATATAAAATACAGGATACTGTTTAAAACTTTTCCAAGCAGATAGAGAAGTTTATCTTTGAAAACAACAGTAAGTGCTGTGTAGCAGTGTGATACAAGAAAAGACTAACCCTCCCTCCTACCCCACAAATACATAGCAGAGAACAGTATACTGAAAAATTCAAAATTAACAAGCTGGCCACAAGAGGTATCAGGATAAGTATCATAGAAATATCCAAATTGCAATCCAATACATATATGAGCACTGGTAATACAATGCTCTAAAAAATAAATTAATAAATTACAATCTTGATCTCTGATACCTTGGCTACTACAGGTACCCATGCTAGTGAGAACAACAGCTGAGTCACACAACTGCATGTGCTGTGCTAGTGCAGTCAGGACAAAACTACTTTCCTCAGCTTCTACTGTCTTGGTCAAACAGAATTCAGTCTAGGCAGTCTCAATTACTATCAAATATCCTGACTTACTTTAAGTTTGCCCCAGTATACCTACTACAAATACAAAAAACACACAGTAAAAGGGTGCAGTGTTTCAAAGGTAGTATAGATTGTTATGCTAATTGCACATGAAAAATGTTCTCAGGTGGCTTCAAAGTCTGTATCGCAGTTTACCAGACATCACATTACAGCACGTAGCAAAAGCAGCATGGAAATGTATCAGGATTAATAAATGTATTAAGATTTTTTTAAGCTAAACTTTCTAGTAAACTTAAGACCAGTATTCTGGAACACCAGATTACTGCTGTTTAAAGTTAAAGATTACTAAACTATTGTTTAAACTGGAAGCAAAGGAAATACTCTTCCCAAGTATATTGTCTGGAATGTAGGTAGCACAAGTTATGCCTCCTGGCAAATTTCCAAACACAAGAAATAGGTTAATATTTATATTTTGACTATATAGCATTATACATTAGTAACTGCAAAGTGTTGGAAGGCTCAGATTTAGATCAGTATAATTTCAAAGCTGTTGGTTTTGCATAAACACGTGACCTCTGATTCAGTGCTCACCTTTAAAGTACTTCACAGTTTTAACTCTTAGTTCTAAAGTAGCATCTTCATCACACACAAAGATAGTGCGAGGGTGTTGCTGGAAAGCAGAAACTGTCCACATATGATTGACTCCTTCTTCAATTGCTTTGTACAATGCAAAAGCCTTGTGTGCACCTGTTATAAGAATCATCACCTGCAAAACAAAGGTCTCTTTACTTTCAATCCCAGTATCAATACCAACTAATCTTGAAAACACACATGCAACTAGAACTAAATGAGTTCTTACTTCTCTAGCATCCATCACTGTACCCACACCAACTGTTAGCGCCATAGTTGGTACTTTAGATAAGTCTCCATCAAAGTATTTAGCATTTGCCAAAATGGTGTCCATTGCTAAAGTCTTTAATCTTGTTCTTGAAGACAAACTTGATCCGGGTTCATTGAATGCAATGTGGCCATCTGGACCAATGCCTTTTCAAAGTTAAAAAAAATAAATCATTCCAGACCTGAGAGTCAACACATATCCTCAAACATTGTAAATTAATAAAAAAGGGCTCATCCTTTCCTTTTGCTTCCCCATTTTCAATAAAAACTTACTTAAGTCATTAGAAACTTGGACACCAACCATTCTCTTTTGAAATTTATACTGATTCTTTGTTAGTGACAAAACTTTCTTACACAATAATTGAAAAATTTGTGTTTTAGTCAAGTTATGAAAATAGCAATTAAAGAACTGGTGTATGTGCTTGAATTGCAACTAACCATAGAGCATTTCCTCATACCTCCAACAAACAGATCAATCCCCCCTGCTTCTTCAATTTTCTTTTCAAATGCATCACATTCCGCCTGTAAGTCTGGTGCATTCCCATCAAGGATATGAGCATTATTTGGATCTATGTCAATATGCTTAAAGAAGTTATTCCACATATAGGAGTGATAGCTCTCTGGATGATTTCTGGGAAGCCCTGAAATGATTTACAGGGAGATTACCATATGAAAAGATTTAACCAAACAGCTTTAATTCTAGTCTGTATCTAACAGATGTAGGGCTTGCAAAGCAAACCTGAGTCAAATAAATCTTTCAAATAAAGATTGAAACTACATTGAGAAGAAAGGTTGGCACGTACAAGGTAACAGGTTTACATTCCCTCCACATACATCTTATCCCAGAGTGTCAAGTCTTCAACAGAAATGCAGTCCCAATATTACATGACAACATAATTTCTACAGAAGTACTGAGAAACACTGGATTTAGCCTGATATTTATTATTGTATTTTTGTAGATAAAGGAACAGAAAAATACTGGGACACCAGTCTAATATAGGAATACAAACATACTAGACTAATCTGGTACTTTGACAAAATATTTAATAGTTTTTATAAGGGAAAAAATCCCAGTACAGTATGTTCTCAAATAATAGCACATCTTACCTACATACTCATCCATGTTGAAAGTCTTTACGTATTTGAAAGAGAGATCTCCATTTTTGTGATATTCTATCAGCTTTCTGTAGCATCCCAAAGGTGTGCTTCCTGTTAAATAAAAGTTTTTCTACTGTTCTGTGTATCTGCACATTTTCAGTGTATTTAAATGTCTTCACAGTCAAATTTTGCTACAGTGCTTTTCAACATACAAGCAATCTGCTGTTTTTCATTTAGTATTTATCAGTTTCTCAAACTATCACAACTTTTCAGAGAAATCAAATTAATAATAAAAAAGTTAGAATATTACCAAAAATATTCTATTACCATAGAATATTATGTTCTTTTAAATACTGTATCTGCTACCAGTGATACATTGTTCCAGGCGCAGTTATTTACAATGACATTGAATAAAACTTGCCTGTTGGTAGACCAAGGGTGAAATATCTTCCTTGACTTGGCTTGAACTGGATAATACGATTACAGATGTATTTGGCTGCCCATTCACTAGCCTGATCATAATCTTCAAGAATTACTAGCCTCATTATGGCAGTGAAGAACTTGTATGATAAAACAAACTTAAACCTGGAGAAAATTTTGAAGTTTTAAAAATAAGCACCACGTTAGTTGCAAAACTCTTAGATTACAGAGGAGATAAAAAAATCATCTTCCATACCAATGACTTGCATTAGCATACCACACTCTTGCAGACCTAGTTCAAGCTGGACAATCAAGAGAAAAACTACAGAATCCAAATGACAGATTACAGTTAAAATATTTATAAAATCCACAGACTAATTTAAAGCTATTAACAGGAAAAAGCTAAACCAAGATGAGAACAAGCCATTTTGAACATCAGTATTTTCATCACTGCCATCAGAAAAGAGGAAATACTTATATACCAAGATTAATTCCTGTTTCTTATGACCAGCTGAATGCCTACAACTTCAAAAACAAGACCCAGAGTAATCCCATGTTTCTATAATCAAAATACCTAACTGGGACTAACTTATTAAAGCTCCTTTCACTCCCATTCTAGCTCCTTAATAATGCTTCAGTAAGTTTATTAATCTGCAAAAAAAAAAAAGCTTAAAAAGCATTAGCGATATTTGAAATGTTTACAATTCACAGGAAAAAATACAATACCACATTTTTTCTTTGCCACATAAATTTAAAGGGCTTTGAGTGCAATTGTATCAACTTTTAAGATGAATATCCAGAAAACAAGCTTGGTTGCAAGAAGTATACAAGCATCTCTTGCATTTAAGTGAAACTCATTTTTCCATGAATTTCTGCTCAACAGAGTCCGGTAATTACTCCAGGAAGACTAAGGCTCTTTCCCCAGTTTGAGATGCGTTACTCTTCCTAGGTCTGGGTGGGCTCAGTATTAGCCAGAACACAACACAGTTGTCAGAAGCCCAGGGCCACCGGTGTGACAGACCACACTAATTTAGCTGACCTCAAATGAGCGGCTGATTTCAAAACAAATATGAATTAAAGGACTTAACCATGTTTGTCCCACTAACGAAGGAAGAAAGTGATGATCACGGTGTGCTGCCTGTGCTGCTCCATCTCCCTGGACAGCTGAGCCGTGACAAGTCAAACTCACCTTTGCCGAGGAAACGCAATTCGCACACACCCGGGAGTTAGCACACCTTCCCGAGAAGGAACAGCATGCCAGCAGGAACAGACTGCGCGGCTTTAGGCCGGTTTCATAAAATCCCAGCAGTTTTACGCTGGGAACACGGGGATGCTCCCAAGAGCAGGGACCCAGGGACAGCAGCAGAACCACAGCGAATTTTCGGCTAAGGACACTTTTTTTGGTTTTGTTTGTCGATAGTGGGGAGGGAGTGGTGATAAACCTACACTGGCAGAGGAAGAGCTCTGCAGCCGGAACGCCGCCGGCACAGCAGCCCCGGGCCCCCGCGGCCTCCCCTTCCCCGGCCGGCCACGGCGCGCCCTGCCCGGCCCCGCTCACCCGGGACAGCCGGCGGCGGCCACGAGCCACACCAGAACCAAGACGAGATGAAGGAGGGGAGGAGGAGGAGGACGAGGAGGAGGACGGGAACCGCCGCCCGCCCCGCAGCTCTCGCCCCGCCGCCTCCAGCGGAACCCGCCCCGCGACCCGGAAGCGGCTGGCGGGGCCGGGAAATGGGCTCCTTCCCCGTGGGCATTTCCGGGCCGCTGCGGGAGTCCGGGACGGAGCGCTCGGCCCAGCGCTGCCCAGCGGCCCGGGAGATGCCGGGGGCTCCAGCCTGGAGCACGGCTGTTCTCGAGAGCTCCTCTCGCAGCCCCTCTGCTGCGGAGCACATTGAGATCTTAATGGAAAAAAAGGTTCCCCTGTAGCCTAAATGTTTGCGGGATGCAGCTGCAAAAGCCGTACGTAGTTACTGACAGAAATTAATGTGGTGAAGCATCAGTGTCTTGGTGAATCACAGCTGACCATAACCCGCGGTGCCATTGCGGGCAGGAAAGGCAGTGGTATCCTAGGGTGCACTCCTGTGGGGGTGCATTCCTGGGGGAACAGTGGCCAACAGCCGGGAGGGTGATCCTGCCCCTCCACTGAGCCCCGGTGAGGCCGCATCTTGTGCTGTGTGCAGTGCTGGGCTCGCTGGGCAGGAAAGGCAAGGAGCTCCTGCAGAGGGCCCAGTGGGGGCCACAAGGTGATGTCTCATCATCTCTTATGCAGAGAGACTGCAGGAGCTGGGCCTGTTCAGTCTGCAGAGGAGAAAACTGGGAGGAATCTGCATGTAAATATAAATAAATATCTCAAAGGCAGGTGTCAGAGGATGCTGCCAGACCCTTTTTGGCAGTGCCCAGCAATAGGATGAGGAGTAACAGGCATCAACTAAAACAAGAAGTTACACCTTGACATTAAGAACTTTAGAGTGGCAGAGTGGTAGAGCACTGGAACAGGCTGCCCAGGGAGGTCATGGAGTTTGCTGTCTCTGGAGATGAAAAACCCACCTGGACACATTCCTGTGTCACCTGCTCCAGGTGACCCTTGCCTCAGTTGGGTCCAGGGCAGTTGGACCAGATAATCTCCAGAGGTCCCTTTCAACCCTAACAATTCTGTGACTTGCTTTTTGCTTTGAAAGTAGTCAAGTAATTCCACAGCCTTAGCTAAGCTGTAATTAAGCAGGCAATATAACAGATAGATCTTGATATGTGGAAAGGGCTAATAGTCTGAAAGGGTGGTGCTTCAAACTGGAGTGAGGAAACGAGTGGGGGGTGAGCAAGCAACATAATTCTCAATATATGTGTATGCACATACCTGTAGGCTTCACTGAGACCTTACCATAATAGAAGACCAGGATAAATCTGTTTATTGGGTGTGAGCATAATTGTCTGAGGAAAAAAATGATTGAATGATAAAACAGGAAGCTAATAAAGGGGAGCGTGTATTTGAAAAAAAAATCTGCGGTCATACATGAGCATAATGATACATTTTTTTGGCAAGACTTGAGTTTAGCTCAGGTTGTTAGAGCATGATGCTAATAATGCCAAGGTTTTAATGTGGCTTTGATCCCCATGTAGGTCATTCATTTAAGACCCATCTTTGCAGGTCCCTTCCAACTCAGTATATTCTGTGATTCCATGAGCCTATCTAGCAAGGTTTAGAAAGAGAAATTTTATTTCTCTTTCAAGGTATTGAGAAATACTTTGCCAAGGGCATGAAAGGAGTGTTTGCAAGCTTGTGAGGGAAAATATGTCTTTCTGAGATCTCTGGGGCTTAGCAGGCAATCAATAAAAATACCTTTGTTTCAAAACTGGCCTTTCATTTGAATTTAACTTTCTAATGTAAACAGTTTTAATTCATGCATGTTCTTCTGATAAGTCTTTATCTCAGAAATTTTGCCAGGTCCTAAAGAATAGTGTTTTGCACCATTTCTTGAGTGACGCTCTGAGCCTCTGCTGCTCTCATAGTTTCAGAGTATACTTGCAGTGGAGGTGATTTTCAGATTCTATGTAAGAATATAACGTTTGTCTCTAGATTTCAATTCTGTTTTTTTTCTTACCTCTGTGGATCATATGTAACACCTCAGAGGTAAACTACTTCTGCATACAGCAGACTAGTTAACACATTTCTTTGGTATTACTACACACCTAGGTACCTACAAGGCTGAAATCTCACCCCTCCCCCAAAAGCTCTGTTGGTTTCCACAACTCGAAAATTCTCTTTTTTTCTTTTCATCACTACAGAAGAACTCTTAAAATTCATGTAATAGTCTCCCCCTTGTTGCATGTTCTCCAGGAGGTCTGAGAATATATGATGTACTGTTCCACACTCAGTGGAAGTTGTCCTTTTTCCCACTGCCCCTAAATTTGGAACAGCAGCTTGTCTGTTGCCTTTTAGCAACCTTCACAATCCTATCAACTGCTTCTATGAGATAGACAAAATTCCCTGTCTTTTGTAAACATATTCAATTCTTACTCTCATTGTTTGTATGCTAATACCTAGGGGATAATTTTCCAAGTCATTCTTTAGAATTTCCTGTCTAATTAATAGCAGATAAAAAATGCTCTATATGCAGTGAATGTTGTTGCTACGATTACTAATTAAGATGTTGCTAAAAAAAATCTTAGTTCCTTATTATGTTTCACTGAGTAGCAAAACTAGAGATTTCTAAGTCTCACATTTATTATAAATATCTTTTGGTTTTGGAAACAGTCTTTCTTTGATTTTTAAAATTTTATTTTCTAAATGGCCCCTTCTTTTAAGTATTAATTAATTTACTCCTGGTGATCTGATTTGTACACATCTGCTATGATCAGATCTCTTTTTTAAAACCTGTGTTTAAGTAACTAGGAATTTAAACTGGATGTACTTCAGTAGTACTCAAACTACACTGAGTTTTACCTGAGAAGGACCACCTCAATTTCAGGTGAACCCAGACTTTTAACAAGATAGCTCTGTTCCTTCAGATTCCCTCTGGTTTAGTTGGAAGAGCAAAGGATCCTGCACAATGCTGGGACCTGTGAAGGAGAATGACACGTATGGATGTTGACATGTAGGAAGGACTCGGAGAACAAAACAAAAAGGTTGCAATGAAAATACTTGCCAAGGCATTAAATATAGAGATTGAGAAATATGTAATTGCTGAAAACACTTTAAAAAAAAAGACTCACTCTGAATGAAACACTTCTATTGAGTCTGGCTGAGGTGGGATAATTTTCCCTACCATTTCTCACAGTGCTGTGCTTTGTATTAGTAGCTAGAAGGATGTCAGTGACACCCCAGTGTTTTGGCTGCTGCTGAGTAGCCCTCCACAGCATCAATGCTGTCTCTCCAGCATTCCCCCTGGCCAGGAGGCTGAGGTGGGCAAGATCTTGGGAGGGGGCACAGCCAGGACAGTTGATCCACTCACCAGAGGATATTCCATAACATAAGATATCTGCTCAGATACAACATTTAAGAGAAGGCTGAAGAAGGAAGGGTGTGGGGAGGAGAGAGCCAGGTATTTTTTTATTAACAAATGTGTTATTTGTCTGTCTTCTAAAGCAACTGGTAGACACACTGAAGCCCTGCTTCCTGGGAAATAGCAGGACATCACCTGCTAATGGGAAGTAGAGAATAAATCTTGTGTTTTCATTTACTTCCATGCACAGCCTTTTTTTTATCGAACAGCCTTTATCTTGATCCATGAGGATTTTGTCCATCTTATTTTCTCCCACCGTCTCCTGCTTAGAAGGGGAGTGATAGGGTGGCTTGGTCAGCGCCTGGTGTCCAGCCAGGGTCAACCCACCAAAATTCTGCTGTGTAATGCCTGTGCAATCAAGCATAAGGATACAGAATAACATAAGGATACAGAATAACAGCAGCTGAGGCCTTTTAGGGGGTGGTAACTGTGTGGGGAGAAGGGGAAAAACTGCAGTGAAGATTTTTTTTTTTCCTGATTTTCAGAAGTCTGAAAGAATGTAAAGACGTTGGTTGTTACCCCTGGTACTTCATTTAATGCCACAGGGTCAATAGCCTGCTGTTTTCCTGCCATTAAAACAGACTGAATTTCTGCTAACTTCATTTCTCTTCTGGACGTAAGCCTGAGGGGACCAAATCCACTTGGCAGCTTTGCTTAGTTCTCACAAAGCCTGAAGATAGTTTCACATGTGCATTACATCCCTGTACTTGTCACAGCTTTCTTCAAAACTTCACTGGTTAGATCTCACCACATTTCTATCAGCTAAGGCATACATGGCATGTGATGTCTTTTGGGCTATGCTATATGCAACCAGCCCAGGGAAACAATTTTCCAGTGAAATAGGAAACATGAGATTCTGTGATGCTAGGACTGTGTCAGCAGATTCACAAATGAAGCACCTAGCTAATACTTAGCACCATCTTAATTTTCATAGGCAAGGCTTGGAGTCAGTATGTGAAGCTCTGCACAGTAACAGATCCATACTCTATGCTTTTGTTGTCTGGTTGTGTTCTTGCAATGTGTTGGTGCTTCCTACATGGATTCTGGTGGAGTCTGTACCAAAACAGTCAGTACCAGCTGGTTCTGAATGTAGGAGTTGGTTACTACAGAGAAAACAGTAGAGGTGATGAGAAGAGTATTTATTGTACGATCACCCTGTTACCTTTTTGCTGGTGGATTCTTCAGTTCTGAGGGTAGGGATTTAGTGTGGGAGTTTGCTACTTGGTACTGCTTTATTTTGCCATGTAGAGAGACCTGATGCTGATTGTTTTCCTGTGTGCTGAAGTACCAGGCTATTTCTCCACAAGTCTCTCTGCCAGAACAAGCAGGCAGAGGTGCCTGCTGCATTCCCTCCAGATCCGATCTTTCCCTTTTGCTGATGTGCCAGCTGTGTCACAGGTATGGGTGCACTGATTGATGGTTGGCTGTGCCCCTGCAGTGTGGAGCATTCTTGATGTATGCAGGGGTGGTGAGAGAAATTTCTGATAGTGCTCTCAGCTGCTGTAAAAGCCTGCTCCTTTCA